CGGGCTTTTTGGATTCATGAAAACAAATCTCCATCCAGGTCAGGGCACCAGACTACATTTGCTTTTAAATTTTTGTCGTTCACAGCTACATGTAGGATGCCGTTTTACCCAAAAATTTCTCTCAAAAACCAAAAGTCCTGTTCTCTTTTCTTTCTGATATGAAAGAAGATATCACCAACAACTTGTTTAGATAAGTTATTTCGAAAAAGTAGAATTTGCTTTCTTATAATACTAGGAACAGAGTGCTAAAGGTAATGAACCCAGCTACAAGTACTATGGGGCAGCGCAGACATCCGGTAGTTTCACAAAAAATACGGGTAGCAACCACACCGTGCCGGTGAAAACAACTGCAACGAGCATGCGCATACGTGCAGATCAAAGAATAAAGATTCAACCCGACCCTCGCACTGGCTGGTGCGTGGGTACATCGCCAAGATCGCTGTTTTCTCCGGCGCAGTATGATCTGCTGCCATCTTGTTTTCACATAGACTCGAGTAAAAAAAGATGGCGGCCTCCATACTTCGCGAAAATTATTGGTTTTTCTTTGTGAATCTGGAGAAGATTTCAATGTTTCTCTTGCACAGTGACAGGTCTCAGGGGCCACACAAAATTTTCAATGTTTTTTAAATTTCGACTTTTTTTGAAATGGTGGGTGGGGCAAAGAATAAAAGGAAAATTGAAATTCATTTTTATTAGCCCATATGAAAATCTAGAAAAAAATTACTTTTCTGACTTGCCTGAAAAACATGGGCCCTTTTCCAATACTTGACTTGGGCTCCGTCTCAGGCTTCGTTCCCAAAACCAATCCCCGATTGTGGTTTTTTCCCTCCAAAATTGAACTTTTTTGGACTTGTTTTTGCTTCTGACAGCTTTTAGGCCGATGTCTGAGTGGGGAATACATGTACATGTAATTACTGGCGTCCGTATTTGGAACTCCTCCCCTTCAATACAGACGATTCACAGTAGCGCGCCTCCAAGAGTTTGAAACACATTTGCCAATCATGATGTGTGAAATCTGTCGACCAATGTCTGTTTGGAGAGGGTCGACAGATTTGGCGCATCGTGATTGGTCGATGCATTGCAAACTCTTGGTGGCTCAATATTGTGAATCGCCCATATTCCCACTGATAGTATACATGTACATATAATGTATGTACCGCAGGGGTCGAACCATTCCGATATGGCATGAAAGGATCCACACAGATGAAAGTCTTAACTTATGGAATTTGTTTTAATTAAATGGCGAGAACTTGCTATGACATGCGACGGGGTTATACCAATGAGAAAAACATTTACCTGTGATACTTGTGGCAGAGGGAGGATTTTTTTTCACTGAGATCCACATCATTGAGAAACCATTTCCTTGTGATTTTGGATAACAAGCTCATGAGACGACTGTAAACCTGTACATCGTATTTCCACCATCATCTATTAAATAGTCAGCTGTTTGGTCTGTGTTGATGTTGAAGTTGACAATAATTTGAAACCAAGCCTTTAGGTATTGTTTTATGGTTGTTCAACAATATTCTTTTTGTGTACAGGAAACCATTCATATGATAAAAACTTGTGAAAATGTGACAAGTATAACGTTGCTCGAGTGGAACTCAACTTACCCAGGACAATTACTTAGACGCGCAGTGATTTTAACTGGTGAAAGAGATTATCACTTCTTACAAATGTGCCCCATACTTCTTGCAGACTGGCTCCATGAGGGCTCGAACGAAGACCATTTCATTATTTTTTACTGTCATGTAAAATGCTGATATCACTGTTTTATTGGAAAGCTCCCCAGCTTCGTAAAAGTATAGGTATGTAGTTTTTCAACACTTCATTTTTTGTCAGCCGTCCACACCTTGCATGTTGCCATATGTTGTTTGAAGAATATCCGTGGTTTCGAAAAAAAAATCGAATTTAATACTCTCAGCCAGTTGCTGTTATCTCCCATGGACACCAATAAAACCTTTACAGGTCGTGTCGCGTCGAGTCCGATCGTCAAGTACAAGCCACATAACCTCGAATTAAATTGGTGAACACAAAAATACATGTATAGACCAACTTGTAGAAATTTTCCGATGATATTATTTAAAGAGCGTGTCCCAGAGAGTGAATATAGTCAGGAATACAGCTACTGTTACATCACAAACAGTCTGGTGAGACTCCATAATCCATAATAGCCCTCTATGATGTGGGATGTGTAATGGGGTACCGACTAATTGTGACCCTAATTTGTTGAGTCTTAGCCTCTCAGACTAGTTCATACAGTACATGAATGTGTGGCTCAGCTGCGAATTCCGTGGCAACATTCCTTTGGGCGGCTCCATGCATTTTGGAGTATATGTTGCCTGTCAAAACGTTCCTTAGAAATAGTCTGCTGAAGGAAGCCTATCGGTCCAATTATTTTTACCACAAGTTTCACCTGTCTTACATACGACAGCACGTCACCCAGTTACCTGCAATGCAGATTTCCTGTAATCTGATGGAACTATTGTTAAAGTTACCCTTGGAAGCAAGGCTCTTTCAAGCGCGTGTTCGTATCCATTCTGTTTTCGATGAAATGCTCTGATAGGCATGAATGCCTAGTGGAACTGTATCACAGGAAGTTCTTTTCCATAGAAAGGTCTCTGTTCAAATGGGCACTCACAACTTCACAAGGTTCAAAAGGAACACTGGATCGCCAAGCGGAACCCTCTTCTTTCCACTTTTGAGACACTCCCCAGTGCAAGTATAACCAATTCAGGCAAACTCATAATGGCAGTTTATGAGAAAGTGATGATTACATGTAATCTTGAAGAGTATAACAGAAAAACCAGAAGGGGAAGAGAGTTGCTCTCTACAATCTATCTGAAAATTTGTCCTGTAGAACAGTTGAGCCACCTTTGTTCTGGTTGCTGCATTGGGCACAGCTAGTGCTCATTGGTCTTGACTTCACAAGTCTGTTTTGAGGGCACTGCTTCGAGATGGTTAATATTAAAACAGATATTTTATAGATCACAAAATTTGTGTTCCTACATGTACAGTTGGATGAAGTTCCTTGCAACAGATCATCTTTTGCCACCATGAGTCAGATCAGTGAAAGCGCCGATAAACATCAACTGCAGGCTTTGCAATCACAAGCATTGGTAATATGTGGCAAAGGTTTCTCAAAGAAGGATAATCATCAAAGCCAAAGGAGAGACCGAAACAAAGAGAAACGATTTCCTTGTGACATTTGTGGTAAAGCTTTCTCACAGAGATTCATCGTGGTACGACATCGCATGACCCACACTGGTGAGAAGCCATTTACCTGTAAGATTTGTGGCAGAGGCTTCGCAGGTAAAGGTAACCTGCGTCAACATGCGTGGGTCCATTTCAAAGAGAAAACATTTATTTGCAGCATTTGTGACAAACGCTTCTCAGATGGAAGTAGCTTGCTTCAACATGCAAGTGTCCAAACTAAGGAGCAAACATTTACTTGTGGCATTTGTGACAAAGGCTTCTCAGATAAAAGTAACCTGCTTCAACATGCGAGGGTCCACACCAATGGGAAAGCACTAACATGTGTCATCTGTGACAAAGGTTTCTCAAGAAAAGCTAATCTATTAAAACATACGAGGGTCTGCTACACCAATGACGTGCAGTTTTATTGTGATGTGTGTGGCAAAGGCTTCCTAAAAAGTCGGGGGGCTGCATGCTCACATGATGGTCCACTCCAAAGTGAAGCCATTTACCTGTGATGTCTGTGGCAAAGGTTTCTCAGAAGAATCTAATCTGCAAGCTCACTTTAGGTTCCACACCAGAGAGAGACCATATCCTTGTGTAAGTTGTGATATTTGTGGCAAAGCCTTTGCAGAGAGAAGTTACCTGCGACGACATACGAGAGTCCACTCTAAAGAGAAGCCATTTGCTTGTGACATTTGTGGCAGGAGCTTCTCCACGACTGGAAGTCTTAAAGCACACGTTCGAGTCCACACGAAAGAGAGACCATTTCCTTGTGACATCTGTGGCAAAGCTTTTGCTCAGGATCGTAATCTTAAAAGGCACTTGAGTGTCCATACTCACGAAAAAAGGTTTACTTGTGACATACGTGGCAAAGGCTACACACGGAAATATACTCTTACAATGCACATCAAGGGCCACGGCAAAGAGAAGCCATTTCCTTGTAAAATCTGTGGCAAAGCTTTCACAATGAATAATGGTCGTACCAGACACATGAGGGTTCACAGCAACGAAAAATCTTTATGTGAGACATTTTTGTCGTGTACTTACGAAACTTACACGAGAATACACATGAATAAGGAGCCTGTTTTTTGTGACATTTGTGGCAAACACTTCGGAGTGAACCATCCTGGTACAACATTGAGACGACCAACACTGACTGAAAAGTCTACCACAGGAGGCAAATCCAAAACCTCACATGTGGTTCCATGTGCAGACCAAATCACGTTTTGTTTGCCGTCAGTTTCTCAGCTATTTTATATAACAGGTTTTGCCCTTACCCAACGTATATTAATAGATAGTTTTCTAATAGCTGATAGTTTTCTCAGCTATTAGAGCATTTCGTGGCACGTGAACTGGATGGTTTGTATTCAAAGAGGATAGAAACTAGCGGAATGCCAGCGTGCATTTCTGAAAGTACACGGGACTCTTTAAATCGCATTTCTGCAATGAAGTGTTTTTAGGTGATGGGTCCTCGTTAGTGAATATGAAAATTGAAAGGGAAATGAAAAAAATGAGGAGATGATGAGCTTATACGATATGTGTGTAAAAACGTGTATTTTTCCTGAAGTAGAGATATTTTTCGCTGTTTCTTACCTAAAGACAGCTAATTGCAGCCCTGTCGCCAGCTTCAGGCATTAACGGGGAAGGGGGGGGAACAGTACAGGGGCCACATGACCGTGAACCGTGATAGTTTTCATGCTTATCCACCGCCGGCTAACTGGTCTTCAGTCCTATTCCAATCAGGAAAGCAGCCACTTATAGATTGTGCCAGAGCGGAGCAACGTCGGAACCTTATTTGAGGACGCTTGCTTTGAACACTTGCTCTATGCTTCGAAGCAACCTCTTTGCGGTCGTTGTGTCATTCAGGAAACAGTCGTCGGCATATGAGCGCAGCCCACATGTTTCCTTCACGCCTTCCTCAGTTTGGTTTTGCTTATTGTTCAGGGCGTACACTGGAACGCCAGTGAGTTTTTGTGATAGAAACGAAACGTTTGATGGATTATTTTGTGAGTCAACATCTCTTAAGTAATCAGGTGCATGTATGCAGTAGCCTTTTTCAACCAGTGAAAATTTCCTTTCTTCGTGCAAATCAAATCATGATATTCTTGCAATTGGGGTTTTCCCAAGAACGTGAAACACATAAATATGAAGCCAGCGTTGATTAAGGCCATCCTGATGGTCGTAAGCTTGCAAAAGTTGTTTAAAGCCAGATTCACGAACTTAAAAATCAGGTTCGCTGTGATTTTATTCTGTCACAGCAATATACATTGCTTAACCGAAAGTGCATTTGATATTCGAATAGTGTAGGGTTTATTGGTGTCGATGTAATCACTTTATGATACATGTATGCCAAGAAGGAACGATACTCACTGTAATGAAGCTGTTGCATGAAACGCAACAGCTTCATTACAGTGAGTATCGTTATTTTACAGTCTCTTTTAAAAAACTTCTGCACGTTTGCTTGATCTTGTGTGTCGTTACAAATGTCCATTGCGAATATATAATGTGGGGTATATCTTCAGGAAGACCCCAACACGAAATATTTTCAACGGTTTATGTTGTACTTTGTTTGCAAGACGCAGTGCGGCGTCTCCATGTGAGACTATGGCATGCGCAAACATCGAACACTATACCAGCACGAAATGGGAGAGAGGGGTACCCCCCAACAAGACCAATCCCTATACAAACTCCAGTCTATCGTCACTTAGCACATCCCCCCTAGATGTCTGAAAAGAATTCCTGAGGTACCAGTATAACAATGACCAACACAAAGGCGGGGGGGTTGTCTCCGCCTCATTATCTTGCACATATGAAGCTTCATATGTCGAACACTGGCCACGGCTCTCCATTGCTCCCTCTTTTAATCAGAATTCGAAGCCGTATCGCGGGAGACAAGACCAGATTACGGCTACCCCTGTCATGGGCCGCCCCATAAAACCCCATGTATCAACTAAATTGATACACCAGCAGTGCTGGGTTAACGTGGGTGAACCTATGTGCCAGCTGTCGAGTTAATTGATCCCCATTATATAAAACTATTGAGGTCAATGGCAAGATGGAGTCGCCGTTGTTGGAAGGATTTCTTTCTCTTCCCAAATGTAAGTGAACTCATGGTGAATTAGCTGTATGATCGACCATGGCACCACCGCCATTTGACTCATTACCTCTTCCTGAAACATGCAGTGGGTGCATCAGACAATTTTAGGATTATTTGGGGTGCAGTGAGGGTATTGATGGTAGTATATCACACGTTCGTGCAGCTTTCTGCCTCCACAGATTCAGCCATTTGCGAGTTATTTTGAATAAAATCGTGTGCACTGAGTTATCTGACTGTACATAAACATAACGATTTGAATTCCCTAGGCTAAAGACACTGTTTCTATACCTCGTGATTCGGGGCAAGCTTTCGCATAGCGACCACCATCTCTGGAATGGACTGGTTCCCTTGTGCCCTTCGTATCCATTGAGAACAGTGTACATGTTCTGTTGCAAGGCGTCTCTTATGTAACTAAGCAAAACCTTGCCCCGAATCACGAGGTATAGCAGCAGTGGTTTTAGTCGGGAAAATTCAAGTTATGTTCACGTGAATTTAAAGAACTCTGCGAACAGATTTGGGTCAAAGTTAATTTGCAGAAGGCTTATTGCAAAGGTTACCCCACTTGCAATCCATTGAGAACAGTGTACATGTTCTGTTGCAAGGCGTATCTTATGTAACTAAGCAAAAGCTTGCCCCGAATCACAAGTTATAACAACAGTGGTTTTAGTAAGGAGAATTCAAGTTGTTATGTTTACGTGAATTTACAGAACTCAGTGTACCGGATTTGGGTCAACGTCGCAAAAGGCTTATTACATGTCCTTCATGCTAGTAGGAAACCCATTAACAAGGCCCCCTTATTCTTTCGTCGATATTTGGCGTTTGATCCCTTCTTTACTCCTAAATTAGAAAGAATATCCAATGACGAAATCGAATAACTACTTTTGTTTTTCGAATGCTCATGTGAGGAATCGTTGCATTTAAAAACGAATTTAATTTGGCCATGTGTAACATGGAAAGACTTTTTGCCGAAATTGGCCGGCGGAACACGTAGTAGTATCACGCAATTAGCAAGGGGCAAGTCTCCCATTCACGTTGTGCCTTAAACAACAAACGTCACGATCTTCTCTGCCGAACTCGTTTGCTCGAGGAAGACGGTAATTCGATACGTGTAGGTGTACGATACACAAAGACCAGTGTTCCCGTTGTGACTGCTCCGGTTCCAGAGGAACACTGTAATTAGTAGAACGTCTATTATTTTATTTGTCACCACAAAGGACAATATCAATAAATACACAAAAAGAACAAGATGACAAGAGCTGAGAAAGCGAACTTTAATCACTGTTATGTTACCAGCAACGTTCTGAGCAGCGTATGTGTCCAACATAAGAGTCTCACGGACTGTTCCCTTAGACCAGTGAAACATTCCAACATAACCTTGTAACGTTCCGAAAGATGGGTCCAACGGAACGTTTCTGTTTGTACTGTTGAGATGTTCCGTAATGCTAATTTAATCTACATAATTATGTACTCCACCCTGCCACATAGGAATTTGTTTTTGGTTCCTGCTAAAGCAGACAGTAAAACTCAAACGTAGGAGGAGGTTCACGCGCTAAATTTTACCCTACAAAACAGAGAAACGGCAGCCACTCGTGTGGTTGGTGCGCAGTGGTCTGGACATCATTATCCTGTTTTGGTTTAACTTGTTTTGTATGTGTTTACTTCTGTTAATAGAGTGGCTGCAAAGTCTTTAAGAGAGGTCCTTTTCAACAAGAGTGAGTCGGTTCAGTGAAAGCTCCAACGAACCTCAAGAAGAGACACTGCAACCACAGGCATTTGTTACTTGTGGCAAGGGCTTTTATCACAGTGGCAGTTTTCAGTCCCGCGAGAGTCCATATTGAAGAGAAGCCATTTAACATGACAGGCTTCCCGGAAATGGTCACCTTCAAAAACACATAAGGGTCCACATCGATGAGACGCCGTTGACTTGGGACACCTGTGGCAGAGGTTTCTTTCTGATAGGCTACTTACCGACACACACGAGGATGAACACCGAAGAAAAACCATTTCTTTGTGGCATTTGTGGCAGGGCTTTCCCGAAGGAAAGTGACCTTATGGGACATACGAGGGTCCACACGGATGAGAAACCATTTATTTGTGACATTTGTGGAAAAGCCTTTTCCAACAAAAATTACTTTGAGCTACATATGAGGGTTCACACAAACGAAAAACCATTTCCTTCTTACATTGCCGGCAAATCCTTTTCACGCAGAAGTAACATGCGACGTCATACGAAGGTCCACACAAAAGAGAAACCATTTCGAGGTGGCATTTATAATAAAACCTCAGAGAATGGTGTCCTGCGACGTTATATGGGGCTGCACAAGGAAGAAAAACAATTTCCCTGTGACTTTTGTGGCAAAAGATTCACACGGAAGTTTAATCTTCAAAGACACGTGATGGTCCACACCAAAGAGAAACCGTTTACTTGTGACATCTGTGGCAGTGGGTTTTCCCAGAAAAGCAACTTATCAATCCACAAGAAACGCCATACCAAAAAGGAACCGTTGCCTTGCGATAGTAGCTTCAAAAACCTTTCAGACAGACGTTACAAACGACGTCATACGAGGACCCATACAGCAGAGGAATTATCTTGTGAAACATGCTTCTCGCAGAATTATCATCTGAAAAGACACATAGGGGTGCAAGCTGAAGAGAAACAGTTTTCTTGTGACATTTGTGGGAAAGCTTTCTCAAACATAAATTACCTGAGACGACACACGAGGGTCCACACAAACGAGAAACCCTTTCCTTGTCCCATTTGTGGCAAAGCCTTCTCACACAGAAGTAATATGAGACGTCATACGAAGATCCACACCACAGAGAAGCCATTCCTTGGTGGCATTTGTGACAAAACCTCAGAGAATGGTGTCCTGCGACATCCTACGAGAGTACATGCCAGAGGAAAATCCTTTTCTTGTGACATTTGTGGCAAAGGTTTCACACGGTACTTTAATCTTCAAAGACACTTTTGGGTCCATTCTAAAAAGAAACCATTTACATGTGACATCTGTGGCAGAGGTTTCTCCCAGGATAGCAACTTATCACAGCACATGACGCTCCACGCTGATAAGAAACCATTTTCTTGTGACCTTTGTGGCAAGGCCTTCTCAAACAAAAATTACCTTAAGCAGCATACGAGGGTCCACACTGGAGAGAAACCATTTCCATGTCATATTTGTGGCAAAGCTTTCTCACACAAGTATAACATGCAACGTCATACAAAGGTTCACACAACGGAGAAACCATTTCCTGGTGGCACATGTGGCAAAACGTTCTCGGAGAGTAATGTTCAACGACATTATAGGAGGGTTCACACAAAAGGAAAAACCTTTCTATGTGACATTTGTGGCAGAAAATTCACGCGGTATTTTAATCTTCAAAGACACATTAGGCTCCATACCAAAAAAAGACCGTATTCCTGTCACCTCCGTGGCAGAGGTTTCTCCCAGAATAGTAAATTATCAAAATGCATGAGAGTCTACAGAGGACAGAAACTGTTTTCTTGTGACAGTTGTGGCAGAGTATTTTCACGGTATTTCAACCTTCAAAGACACATGAAAGTCCACACCAAAAAGAAACTGTTTACTTGTGGCATCTGTGGCAGAGGTTTCTCCCAGAAAAGCAACTCATCAGAACACAAGAATGTTGTCACTGATGAGAAATCCGTTTCCTGTAGCGTTTGTAGCAAAGCCCTCTCAAACGGAAATTACCATGGGCGAGGAAAGAGAACACCATTTCCATGTGGCATTTGTGGCAAATCTTTTGCGCTGAATTCTACTCTTAAAAGACACACAAAAGTCCACACCACCGAAATACCTTCCTATTACTTGTGACGTCGGTGGTAAAGGTTTCCCTCAAGAGTGATAATCTTCAAACACTCGTAAGGATCCATACCAAAGAGAAACTGTTCACTTATGTATGGCAGAGCTTTCTCTGGAAATAGCCATTAATTAACGCACTCGAGGATCCACACTGGATGTAGACCTTTTACCCGATGTGACAATTGTGACAAACGCTTCGTTTAGGATATTCAAATTGAAACCCACGGGAGAGTACACACGAATTTAAAATCGTGACTTGTATGTGTATGAGAGTTAAAAGCTGTAAGAGAAACCATTAACAGTACATGTATGTTTGTGACACATGTTCTCAATAAATTGTACTCTTGAAAGACACATAAGAGTCCATATCAGAGAAACTTTTTAGTGACGAAGAATTGTAACTTCAGAGAATACGGGACAGTTCACCTCAACTAAAAGCCAGGTATCAAATGAAGTTTTTAAATACACGTAGAGTATTAGGTTCTAGTAGGCAGTGTTTGAATGTTTCTAAATTTTTCAGACTGTGACTTTTGTTTAGTGTGCAAGGGCTCACATGTGTTCTTTTTTATTTACTGATTTACATATAATTTCTTTTTATAAAGGAAAAAGAGGGTATTTGAACAAGTTTTAACTACCATGCCGGATCACATTTTCGCACTACGTTTCCGCAAAATTGAGAATACTTCGATTGGGCAAATTTCGCTGCTGATATTTTGCGACATTAAAATTTGGTTTTCTTTACCGCTGTCGTGTATGTCTGAAGTATGAACCGGCCTCTAGTGGTGTATTGGTACAAGAACAGATGGAGAGCCAACGGGGACCATCCCACCATCCCCAGGATCAAAAGTATTTTGAAAATATTGGAAACCGAATACATGTACCTTCCAAAAGCGCGAGGAAGCAGGAAAATGTAGTCTCAACTGTGATCCACCTGGCAAGGCATGGAGGGGTATATAAACTGTTGGACTTCCCTAATCGAGACGATTTGAAAAAATATGTTCTGGATCTGCCCTGGCTTGCGGACATCACTTTGGAGCCATGAGTTGAATTCGATAATCCAGTGAAAGGTTTCAGCTCAGACTGAAATGGGTTTTGCCTGTCTTTGCAACAGGCGGATGGGTTGCGAGATAGAACATCAATGTCTTAGACCTTCTTCACGGGGAACCACTTTTTATCTTCCCCAATTGTATCGTTCAGTTCTGTGTATAAATTAGTTCTGTGGTGCGAGATTTCTCAGTTGCAAACCTCAATTCCTGTCTTATTTGCCTTATTTGTGTACATTCAGATATGAGTTATGGTGGCAAATTTCAAATTATTCTAAATAAAAATGTGATATCTATTTTGCAGTTGTATATTTGCTCTTAGATTTCCCAATAAGCCATTTGCCATTTGGTACGCTGAGTTATGTGACTGCACCTAAAGAACGATTTGAATTCCCCAGTCTAGAGACACTGTTGCTATACCTCGTGATTCGGGGCAAGCTTTCGCATAGCGACCACCATCTCTGGATCAATGGGCTGGTTCCTTTGTGCCCTTCGTATCCATTGAGAACAGTGTACATGTTCTGTTGCAAGGCGTCTCTTATGTAACTAAGCAAAAGCTTGCCCCGAATCACTTGGTATAGCAGCAGTGGTTTTAGTCGGGAAAATTCAAGTTATGTTCACGCGAATTTAAAGAACTCAGTGAACAGATTTGGGTCAAGGTTAATTCGCAAAAGGCTTATTGCAAAGGTTACCCCACTTTCAATACAAGGACAACCTCCAGGAAATCTCTCGCACATTTATTGTAAATTAAAACACCTTTGAACGTGCATTTTATTTCAGATACACGCAATACTTAAGGTTTATAATTGAAGGAACTGTGTTCTGAAGTTTTTAAAAGCCCTTTTTTATACTCTTCTGTACTAACGAAGACTAATGAAACCTTTTGGAGTCAAGAACAACTCCATTGATGTATTTGTTCGAGCCTTCGTGATAACAGTTTGCTTTATTGCTGTGATTTCTATGGACAAGACACACTTCACTTTGTATGTTTTCATGTTCAAATGTTCAACCCTAAATTGTTCCTTGAAATCGTTTCTGAGATAAGGTTGCTTGCTGTCATGTTGACATAGTTTTCGACAGAGAAATCGCAACAGTAAAGTATGAAAAATACAAACGTATCACAGTACTGCGTGGGGGTATTTATTGCTGTCGTCTGTTCCAAGGCAGCAAATTTTTGGATTCCGACTGAGCTTATCGGGAAAGCCGTCATTGAAACTGTTTTCTGAACGGCATCTTGAGGACCAGCGTCCGTCCGCGAAACAGTCGTCGGCATATGAATGTAGCATGCAGGCCCACTGCGCGCCAGCAACGCGACGACAGTGACGCGACAGGAGCAGTACGCATTGCAAGGTCAGTTTGATGGCAAGACGGTGACTCGTTGCTGTGTACGAAGTATTCTCCTCCCGAAGCTGGTAAATGAACTCCTGTTGAAACCATGACAGCACCGCCTGAGGCTTGACCGCCATTGAGAAATGAAGTGGGTGTTGAAAACGCTTTCGCGATTATTTTGGATGAAATGTGAATGGTTCGATTGGGGTATTGCCAAAGGGCACGGACCAACTGCTCCCCTGGAACATGTTGACGTGTTCCCACAGTTCGGTAAATACTGGAGCCTTTTACCATGTTGCCACGAAACAACCATGACCGCATGCCACGATTGTACAATACATGGCGTTTATGTTAGAAGTGAATAAAAATCCGTTTAGGCCAGTGCTTCTATACCAGCTGTTGGGCTCAGTTCGTCCATGGAGGAAGGTTTGCAGGCTTCACATCACTTCCATAGCTGTCTGCCTCTATAGATCAAGCAGGGTTTATGCTATGCCCATATTACAATAAGCACGAAACCTGTAAATTCTGTTGTCAGTACGAGGGCCGGGCCGTGACTTGTAAACACAAGGCAACGTTTTGTCTTTGACTTCTGCCAGTTTCATCAGATGCAATTTCGCCAGGATGTTCTCTGTAAAAGGGTTTGGTCAGAATAGCTAATCACTCATACTCGTGCTTGGGTTTCATCAATGCTGTATTAACCAAGTGCTCATGACCGGTATTACTCTCCCCAATTTCTTCTCCGTTGGATTAGGTGCATGTTTTGGTTGCAAAACAAGTCCAAGCCCCCTCCTCTTTGCTGTATCTGCAAACGAAATTCCTAGGTGAACAACAAATGGCTCCCCTCCACTGTTCCTGGTTCTTTCTTCAGAGACTTGTGAGTGTACATGTAAGTAATAGTTAGCGAGATGACACGGACTGTATCCACATCTTGGAGTGCCTGCAGGTCTGGCTTAGCCTTGTATTCCTGGATTTACATCAAAGCAACAGGGTACTCACTTCTCCATAAATGCTTGATCAATTTTTCAGTTATAAAAAAGTGCACCGTTCAGTTCACATAATTCAAAAAAGATCTCAAACAGTGTTCGTACATGGAAAAATACAGAGATAGAAAGTGATTCTAAGAAAAATTCATTTCCTGGTTTTTTAAATTTTAATCGATCCTTCACAATTGGAATATTTCCCATGAGATCAAAATCAAACAACCTTTCTAAAAGTTTGTTTAAAAGAATTAGCAACAATACGCATGGAAGAAATGAAATAATATTGTAACAGATCAACTGTTTCAATAAAACACTATTTAAACTGTTTCTGACACGTTATGGACCCACTCTTGTAGGCAATGTTACGAACAGATATGGCATCGTAGCTTCCACGAAAAATTCGTCCTTGCCGAGTGAATACGCCTCAGTCCTCAAAACATGTTTGTTTCTGGGGATTATATGCACCACCGTGATGCGTGTTGCTTTTCAGTCCATGCCTGATTCCGTGGCTGGAGGTTTTCCTCCCAACCGTTACCTCCTGTCTCCTCGTTGCTGGTGTGGTTGGTTATGGGTCGTATGGCGACCGCCTGAGGCGCCCTTGTATGTCATAGGCTCAGTCACGCTTAATGACTTTTTGTATCATACATTGCCTTCATTGCACAGTGCCTTTTGAACATGTCCGTATGAAATTTGCGCTTTATAAGTGAATAAATGTTATTTTTCCAAACGTATGTTACAAAGCAACTCATATGGAATTCGTGGCAGACTACCGGTACTCGGTCATGAAGCAATAGGCTATTTGAACACGGGAGTGCCAAAAACTACTTTCATGGTACAGATTTCTTTTGCCGTTTACTCCACCTTGTAACTATTCTGTTCCAAAAGGAGTGTGGCACAGATTTATTTTCACCAACGACATGCGTGTATGCCCTAGGACAGGGGGACCAGAGTGTGGCGCTGGGGGTGTAAGCCTCTGCCCTTTACTAAAACAATAAATAAACGGAAGAAAAAGAGATTGTGTCAGAAATGGAATGCAAGTTTATTTTCAAAATGAGGGAGATCAGACAAAGATAACAAAGGGAACAGTTGGACAGCATTTTACATGATCATTAAAAGATAAAAAAATGAGTTTAATTCCAATGACGACAATTAAGCATGGTTTCCCAGCACATTAACCCTAACCCTCCTCAATCCTCCAACAGGTGAAGGATTCAGGAGGGTTAGGGTTAAAAGTGAACATTCAACATGTTCATTGTCATAGGCTTTTCCTGTTTCTAGTGGAATTTTTTATCCTAAGGAATGTTTCTTTGGAGCATTGAAACGGTCCAAAACAATAGTCTCACTTCCGATGGCATATATATATACAGACTGAAATTCAGAAGGAACGTGAAAACTTCCCCAGGAAAGTTCCAACAGAACGTTCCTATTTGTATTTTAAGATGAACCGTGGTGCAAATCCAAAGGCCAATTTGTGATGATCCGTTACCGAGGTTAGTCGGTGTAGTTTTTTTTTTCCATTGAACAGAAAAACACTCTTCTTGTTGGGTGTATGTGGAACCCAATATTCTTGATTTCACCATGGTATACTTGTAAACTCCTTTAATATCGTTTCTCTATGTGCTTATTCCTGTTCTTATAGTTGCTAGAAGCCCCTTGCAAGAGGTCCTTTTCAGCAACAGTTCGGCATGTCACTGACAGCTCCAACTATTAACAAGAAACACTACACCCGTAAAGCGTTTATGATTTGTGGCAGAGGCTTTTTAACGGAATGGAACTGTGGAACAGCAAGAGAGGCCATGACAGGGAAGCCGTTCATTTGTGACTTTTGTGCACAACGTTTCTCATGGAAGGCTCTCTGAAGAAGACAACGAAGGACCACACCAGAGAGAAGCTGTTTACTTGTGACGTATTGCAAAGATTTCTCAGAATAGTGTTATTTACAGACACACACGAAAATGCACACTGGAGAGACACCCTTTACTTGTGACATTTGTGGCAGTAGCTTTTCACGGAGATCTACGTTACAAACACACATGAGGATACACACTGGAGAGAAACGCTTTACTTGCGACATTTGTGGCAATGGCTTCTCACGGAAATCTACATTACAAATACACATGAGGATACACACTGGAGAGAAACCCTTTTCTTGTGACGTTTGTGGCACTGGTTTCTCACACAAATCTACGTTACAAACACACATGAGGATACATACTGGAGAGAAACCCTTTACTTGTGACATTTGTGGCCGTGGCTTCTCACAGAAATCTACGTTAGAATCACACATGAGGATCCACACTGGAGAGAAACCCTTTACCTGTGACATTTGTGGCAGTGGTTTCTCTCAGAAATCTACATTAGAAATACACATGAGGATACACACTGGAGAGAAACCCTTTTCTTGTGACGTTTGTGGCACTGGTTTCTCACACAAATCTGCGTTACAAGCACACAGGAGGATACACACTGGAGAGAAACCCTTTACTTGTGACATTTGTGGCAGTAGCTTTTCACGGAAATCTACGTTACAAACACACAGGAGGAAACACACTGGAGAGAAACCCTTTACTTGTGACATTTGTGGCAGTGACTTCTCACAAATATGTACATTACGGAGACACATGAGGATACACACTGGAGAGACACCCTTTATTTGTGACGTTTGTGGCAGTAGCTTTTCACATAAATCTACGTTACAAAAACACATGAGGATCCACACTGGAGAGAAACCCTTTACTTGTGACATTTGTGGCCATGGCTTCTCACAGAAATCTACGTTAGAATCACACATGAGGATACACACTGGAGAGAAACCCTTTACCTGTGACATTTGTGGCAGTAGCTTCTCGCAGAAATCTACATTAGAAATACACATGAGGATACACACTGGAGAGAAACCCTTTTCTTGTGACGTTTGTGGCACTGGTTTCTCACACAAATCTGCGTTACAAGCACACAGGAGGATACACACTGGAGAGAAACCCTTTTCTTGTGACGTTTGTGGCAGTAGCTTTTCACGGAAATCTACGTTACAAACACATTCGAGGAAACACACC